TCGGCAGCTACTGTAACATAATGCCCACAATTCACCTCGTGATCTTTTTTGCCCATGTTTTATGTTGACGCCTACAAAAGTGCGGAACGTTTGTCATAGAATACGGCGCGAAAACCGCCGGACTTTTTCGGACATTTCAGGGCGGTGTGCGGTTTCGCTCATTCTTTTTTGGTGAGACCACACAAAAATGAACAGGTCACAGAGGGAATATGGAAAGTTGATACACTACAATCTACCACTTGCACAGTGGTGTTACAAAGTTGATAAAAAAACTTTTCTATTAGGATGGGTTGTGTAATATATGTGGGTTAGGTATCTCAGTATATTTATTATTGTAAGATACTGAGGGTAATCTGTGGCAAGACGATATCGGACTGTCAGAAATATACGTTGTCATCTACTGGACGTTCTCTGTGTTTGATTGCTCCCGAATAATACAGGTTGCACCAACTTATTTTAACTTTAACAAACGTCTGTCAAACTTCGTATAAAACACCGGTTAACGTTATAGTTATGGTAAAAGTTAGATGGTGCAACTCAGCATTAGTGTTGAATGTAGTACAAAAATAATATAAAACTTTTTATCATCGCTTCTACCACTTCTGAATCATATTCTTCACTAAGTACTTAATCGATCCAAGAATATTTATCTTTCCTATTTCTAAAACGAAAAGTTCACAGGTAACATTGAGCAGCAACTAAAGTTACATAACAACTAAAAAAGTATTTTTCAGTGTCGAAATCTATACTAATCTATACTAATGATAAATGCGAAAGTAACTCTGTCTGTCTGACTGTCTTGCTTTCATGCCTAAACCACTGAACCGATTTTGATGAAATTTGAAATAGAGATAGTTTGAGTCCTGGAAAAAGACATAGGATAGTTTTTATCCCGGTTTTTGAAACAAAGACGCGCGCGTTACAGTTTTTCTGTGACAGACAAAATTCCACAAAAAGGACAAAGGATAGTTTTTATCCCGGTTTTTGAAACAAAGACGCGCGCGTTACAGTTTTTCTGTGACAGACAAAATTCCACGAAAAGGACATAGGATAGTTTTTATCCCGGTTTTTGAAACAGAGACGCGCGCGTTAAAGTTTTTCTGTGACAGACAAAATTCCACGAAAAGGACATAGGATAGTTTTTATCCCGGTTTTTGAAACAGAGACGCGCGCGTTACAGTTTTTCTGTGACAGACAAAATTCCACGAGGGCGAAGCCGCGGGCGGAAAGCTAGTGTCTTTGTAAAAGTATAAAACAAAGGACGCTTTTATAAATGCTTTAACAATTTTATTTTTACATTCTGGCTGATTCTACCATGTATTTATCTAATTACAATACGGCTAACGAATTCAGAATAAATTTATTTCCCGGTTCCAAACTCCAAGCCAACAGTGTTGTTACACCTGGCATCTAGAATTAGCCAAACTAAGGCACCGAGCCCGCAATTTGCTAATTAAATAAACGTTCCATTTAACTAGTTAGTTACAAGTGGGCGAAATTTTAACTGTGACTAATTGGTCAGAAAACAAACAGTTTGGGCTTTGGGTACGTTAGGAGTGTGTGGGTCAAACGGCCTTAGGAGTACCAACTACAAAAATTAGGGTCTAGTAAAGTCAGCTCTGCAGGCAACTTTATTTCAAAATAGAATCATTGCTATCCCTTCCAGCTCAGTTCAAATCAACTTGTGTAAGGAATAAGTTCCTAAGTGGACCGACGATCTGACGATGGTCGCAGGAAGTACCTGGATGCGGGCAGCGCAAGACCGGTCGTTTTTAAAATCCTTGGGGGAGACCTTTGTCTGACAGTGAACGTCATTTGGCATAAGTTCACCACAATATTCCAGTCATTAACCTCTTACCTACGGGAGGCACCTATAGTTGCCAAGTCAAAAGTCACTTCTCAATACGGGTGGCATCTATTGTTATTTTGGCAAAGCCAATACTAAATCACGGTTTACGACAAAAAAACAATAAAATTGCAAATTAAGTGTAAAATGCGCTTGTAATTATGAAACTACATTACGAGTGCAGAATATAATATTCCAAATTTCAATACCGTAAGTCTTATACTTTTTAAAATATCTTGATGTAAAGTGGAGCAAACAATTTTATAGGTTAAAATACCCCGTATTGAGAGGCGACTTTGGGTTTCCAAGGGCCCGTAGGTAAAGGGTTAACGGCAATCGCACTAGCATCTTCGAATCAGCAGTCCAATGCCGATGCGTTGATATTGTCGCTTCTCACCTTACCACTACGATTTCTTCTATCGTATTGGTTGAGAAAACTCAAGTCAACCTTGGTAGAGACAGAGAATAGTAGTATCAGATTCAGAGTTTGGGCAATTTCTCTGAACCTTAGATTGTTACTCGAGCTAGTAACTAAGAGAAATCGGCTTTGTGACCACTCACCTCTGTTACAATTCTCCTCGGTCTCCTCCCCTGTATATAGATATTACAAGCGAATTACTCTCGAAAGATAACGTAGGAACGACCCAAAAGTACATAAATAATCTTATTGAGAATACAAATTATAATAGAAGAAAAACCTTTCAACATTATCCAGCCCCAAAATCCTACCCATGGTCCAAAAGAATCACGTTTATAAATTTTAAATTAACCACGGCATCTGGCCCTAATAGTTTACCTTCCTAATTTAATTAGAAGCACTACACCCTAATATGTATTTATTTATTCCGAGCGGACCCTTCTTGGACCCCAGAAAATACTTTCGCCTTAATATAGTAAGCCAAAGAGCTTGTATATGAATACTTATGATATGTAATCCACTGACCTCGTGGAAAAGTACGTAAGTGAATATTTTGTAGATATTAAAAAAGACGACAGTTATCTGTTTGTAATATAAATAAGAGGTTAAGAAAATAAAGCTAATAAGCCTAGCATGAAAGCTAATAGCCTTATAGGAAAGATCATGTACTTTTTTGGTCGTAGTAATTAAATACATATTTAATAGGATTTTAAAACTTCATATTGATTTACGTTCTCATGTTTAGTGTCTGAAAGATATTAGAGACCCTCAAAGATTTGACACTGGTTGCGGAAGGTCAAAGAAAACGCAGTCGGCATCATGTATGATTAATTTGACCTGACCGTACACCGCAGTGTGACATGTCCTTGAATGGTGTCCTGAAACTTTTATTTTATTGCTTTATTTGGTGTAAGTACAAACGTAAAATGAGTATCCATTTATCTAAGTATCACGCGCAAATCGATTTGTTTGCATTCAGTAATAGCACCAGAGCCTGGAAGGTCAGATAAAGTTAATTAATCATTGTCATTTGCCTTGCTCCCACCCTCAGCAGCAAGGAACATCTACTACGAGTAATTATGGTGGTGTTTTGAGGAGATAATCTTAACAAATTTGACTCAGAAAACTTCTCAATAATGCTTTTTTTATTATCTTATTATTATCTAGGCATACATTAATTTATAAAACACTACTTACTCGCACAAACTGATACTTTTATTTTTAGGAACTATAAGTGTTAGATTTAGTTACTACATTTTCGAGATTTTCCGGTTAAACTGTCTCTAAGTATAAATAATTTTATTTAAGAAATGCTGATACAGCCTTTTACATGAGGGTAGTACATCATACACTATAAAAAGTATCACACACTCAAAGGGATGATCCTGTTCAGTGTTTTCCTATGAATTTATAAGTTTATACGTAAGATCTAAGAAACGTATATTATTTTCTGTTAACACATAATGAAAGATTAGCTGTCAGTTTGTATGTAATTACACAAAAAAATAATGTTTCGAGACTTAATTCTACTACCAACGTCTTAACCAAATGCCGTCCACTGCTGGACAAACGAGACAATTATTCCCATCTCTCGTTCCCACCGCTGCAACTCCTGTGTAGCCAGGATCTACAGCTTAACCGCCAATAAAACCCCAACTAGTGAAGGTCAAGTTTGTTTCGGAGGAAAGTTAAACTGTCATTGGACCTGCAACTTGCTGGACAAATACTTCCAGAACGACCGATCCCGCGAAGTGACTATGTTTTCCGATTCGATCCGCACCAATTTTCATATCCTATTTCACGTCCAATCCCGAACGATAACCCAATTAAGCAAAGCCACAGGCAAAACCTAGTGTACCAATATGTTAACTAGACCAGATGAGGTTTAGTTCCATGAATTTCGATATTCATTAATATTCAATAAGGGTCAAAACAAATTAGTAATTTATTTCGGGAAGGCCGGTCACATTAATTTAATAATTTATAAATTTACTGCATATTGAATATTAGCTAGGTACATTAAAGAGACGTAGTATGGATATTTTATTTATGTAAATAAATCTAAATTTCGTACGCGTGCCCCCGTTTTACCCCCTTAGGGGTGAAGTTTCGAGTTTTTTAAGGTTTTCCCGGAAATTATTCGAACTTTTCTCGCCGTAGAAACCATTCTTGGAATTCAACGAACATTAAAAAAAAAAGAATTGGTAAAATTGGTCCAGGCAGGCGTTGTTGAGTTATGCGCTTTCCAACACATTTTGCGAATCATTTTTGAATGATCAAACGANGCAAGGTTGCAATTTGACGAATTTTCTTTATCACTAATATAAGCTAGTGGAATTTCAAATTAGCTAGCTGAATTCGGATTCTGCTAAACAGAGCCCCGATTACGGTAACTTTTATAACGTCTACAATCCAGACGCGTTTCTGATTCTGCGATACGATTGGTCAAAACAGCTGACGTACGCTGTTGAACGACCAATCGTATCGCAGAATCGAGAAGCGTACGTCAGCTGTTTTGACCAATCGTATCGCAGAATCAGAAACGCGTCTGGATTGTAGACGTTATAAAAGTTACCGTAATCGGGGCTCAGTGCCACCCACGTATGAGGTAGGATATGGGTAGGATAGACAGATGATGACTTACTAATAATTTCCTATGGGTGAAAAGATTGGAAAAGATTCTCCCTCTCACCACAACACTTTTCAGAAAAAAAGTAAAAAGTCAAAGTCAAAATCTGTCTGTCACATTGACATTCTACTTTGTTGTGAATTCTGGAATGAAAGTTCAACGCATTTTTTTCCTGTTTTTCTTTATTAGTATTAAAGTTATTCAAATTAAATAAAAGTTTATCAATGATGTCAGCCATAGGACCTGAGTTTCATAATTTCATTAAAAAACTCGAAGACAATGGCGATAAAATGGTTTTGGGGACACCCTTGGAACAACAACCACTTGACTTTGAATTCAATGTACGAGTTTATCCATCTTTATTTTATTAAACACAACTAAATATTTGCTAAATTGAAAGTCTTCGTTACAGAATTATGCCTGTTACGTGTGTAACGGGTACTACGGACCGAGTTTCGGAGAGCCAGTATGTGTGACTTGTCATACATTCTTGTTCCCAGACTTTCCGTCATATTTCCCAAGTTCGTACTTCTCCAGTGAGAAAACTGACGACGGTGACTCCGGCAACGATGAGCCTTCGGACCTCAATTACAGTGCGGATCGTAAAATGTATAGGGCTTGTCAGTTGCCAGCATGTTGGTATTACAGGGTAAGCAGAAAAAAAGATGATATTTTATATACAATTTAAACATCTTTATTTTTAAAAACATTAAAGAAGAATACAAAAATTTCAGAACTCATTAGACAGTGAAACAAGCCCAGAAGATGAGGCAAGTCGCGCCAGTGGTTTGGGAGCCAGTGGGAGCGGCAGCAGTGGGTCGGGCCTGTCTGGCGCGGGGCAGGCGCCGCCGCCGGCTCCGCCCAGCCTAGCACTGTCCCTGCATGCTCTATCTACTCCCCGCCCACCAGAAAACCTTGCTCCGGGTCTAGTTGAACAGCTGCCTTCAGAAGGTGTGTATACTTTTCATCAAATTGTCATTTTCTTTGTTTGTAGCTACTTGTTAAGAGAATGTACTACCACAAAGCATTACCATTGGGTGACAAGTTACTAAGTACCTTGTCTTTTTGGAACGGATTATTTATTTATGACCAGAATTTCTTAGTGGAGTCTTGTGTTAAGAAATTAGAGCATTCTTGTGTGGAATTTACTGGGATTATAAAATTAACTTGTATTTATGGATTCCATGGCTAGTACTAATATGTATTTTGTTGAAAGCAGACTGGGTTTTGAGGCTTGAATGAAGTGATTTTTTTTATTTTGGTATTATTGATTAAGAGAGTCAGTTAATCAATAATACCTACCCAATTAGGAATCCATAAAGAGATAATGTGTATTTAATCACTATGTAATAACCTCAGCTGGTTGTATGCCAATATCAGTGTCAGTGTAGGTTTTACTGTAAATCAGTATAGTTCTGTCTCAAAGGCTTTGGGAGGACACCGTCAGGTTTTAGTGAGTATGCCAATCTGGCAGAGAGAGCCTCACACAACCTGCCGGTTCCAATTCATTTGGGCCAATTTCATGCATTTCCTGACAAAAAAATAAATAAATAAAAAAAGGCTGTATATCAGTGTGTGTATTGATTTATAATTGTCACATTTACGTGTGTTGCAGTGCTGCTGTGCATCTTCAGCTACCTGGACGACCTCTCCTTGAGCGCGTGCGCGTGCGTGTGCGCGCGCTGGTGGCGCCTGGTGCGCGCGCGCGTGCCGCCGCCGCGCTGGGCCGCCTTCACGGCGCGCCGCTGGCCGCTGTACCGCCCGCTGCTCACCAACATCGACTGGCACAAGGTCAGTCCCTAGCAGTCGCTACCTGGACGACTGTCGCTGAGCGCGTGCGCGTGCGTGACGCGCGCTGGTGGCGCCTGGTGCGCGCGCGCGTGCCGCCGCCGCGCTGGGCCGCCTTCACGGCGCGCCGCTGGCCGCTGTACCGCCCGCTGCTCACCAACATCGACTGGCATAAGGTTACTTAAGCTTCAACCACACCAACTATCAATCATAGGCCAATACAGGTTGCGTGACCCATGACAGTCCCCGCCACATGTCATTGGCCTATGATCAGGCTGTGATCGCGCTGGCGATGGTTGAAACTTTACTGAGCGTCACCTTGGCAACGGCCTCAGTCCTGCTACAGTACGATGTATAGATGCTGGGCCGCCTTCACGGCGCGCCGCTGGCCGCTGTACCGCCCGCTGCTCACCAACATCGACTGGCACAAGGTCAGTCGCTAGGCGTCGCTACCTGGGCCGCCTTCGGTTACTTACAAACATCGACTGGCATAAGGTTAGTTAAGCTTCAACCACACCAACGCGTGCAGATCGCCATCGCCGGCGCGATCATACGCCAATACAGGTTGCGCGACCCATGACAGTCCGAAAGACCTTGGCCTATGATCGGGCCGTGAGCGCGCTGTCGATGGTTGAAGCTTTACCGAGCTTCACCTTGGTTACGGCCTCAGCCCTGCTACAGTAAGATGTATAGATGCTGTACCGCCCGCTGCTCACCAATATTGACTGGCATAAGGTTTGTGGCTAAGGCTAACAACACACAGATATAGAACAAACTAAAGCCAGACGGTTTTCACCCGCACCTGCCGCGGTGGAGAAACCGCGGTTTTATTTCCACGAGACCGGAGCCGCCGCGGTGGCGATTGTCGCCCGCAAACTTGACTGGCGATTTTAATTATTTATTGATTTAATTCACAGGTTTTAGACCTTACTACGTAATTAATTCATTACAAATTACCGCAAAATACGCGGCTTGTCATTTAAGAACCACGGTAGCCCGTCAACCGATTGTAAAGCGCACGAGCACAAACCGCCGTGGCTGCGGGTGACGTCGCACGGCTTGCGTCTAAGTCACCTTTTATGGCTTCTCAGCTTCTAGTCCAAGTTGTCTCATCTGATGGAAAATGATTATCACTTTAATACATAACATCACTGTTAGTTAATTTTGCAGGGCAATCGAATCGCACTTAGCCTCTTGGACCATTGTGCGCAACAACATCACTGTAAGATTTCATTGTTTTACATGTTCCAAATGTTGTTAATAATTTCCCCATAGCACTTAGCCTCTTGATTAGGCCAACATTACTGTAAGCGCTTCTGCACACGATGCCGCCACCGCGCCGACGCCGCGCCCCTACACTGTTCATACGTGCCGCGTAAAACCCGCCACCGCGCCGTCAAAGCATAATTTCACCGGTCCGGCTTTGACGGCGCGGTGGCGGGCTTCACGCGGCGCGTATAAACAGTGCAAAGGCGCGGCGGCGGCGTCGTGTGCAGGAGCGCTAAGATTTCATTGTTTTACGTGTTTCAAATGTTCCTCATAATTTCCCCAGAAGTACCAGTCGCTGGTGGAGTCGTGCTTCTGCCGCAACTGCTTAGTGCAGATGTGCGTGCAGGCGCAGCCGGCCGGCGAGGAGAACGCCTGGCGCCGGAACCGCCTGCGGAACGAACTCAAGGTTTGTTTCTTTGACACATGCTAAATAAATATTCCACTAGGTGGACCGACGATCTGGTGAAGGTCGAGGAAAGTACCTGATTGCAACCAGCGCAGGATCGGACGTTGTAGTGTGAAATCCTTGCGGTAGGCCTTTATCCAGCAGTGGACATCACTGGATGAAACGAAAATATCCCATTTCAATACACATCGCTAGTCCGTACTAATTTTTAACTGGCACTATAGGCAGGCTGGCACTGACTCCAAGAATATCAATCATGGTATTTATGTACTATCGGCAACAGTGTTAACTGCCCATTGACGGTCATGTCATCTCGTTCTATCGCAAAGAATCACCATTTGATGAGAGCGAGAGCAAAAACGCAAATGGATAGTTAACACTGTGACCGTGTGTACATTTGTCCTAATAAATGAATAACGTATATTATTTTGCTACTTTATAGTGCAGGTTTTTTAGAATTGGTTTTAATTTTTTTTGTTAAAATAAAATTTAGCATTAAATGATAGGTAAGCTGTAATAGTTTCTTAAAGAAATATTGTAGAGCAAATATTTACGCTATCAGATGTTGCGCAACGACCCGCCCGAGGGGATAGCGGCTACCCCGCTGGACCCGAAGTGCTGCCACTGGCAGGCCAGCGTCACGGGGCCCGACGGCTCGCCCTACGAGGGAGGCGTCTTCTACCTTTACATTGTTATAGAAGTATTGTTATGGCAGCTACATTTATTGCTATCAGATGTTGCGTAACGACCCGCCGGAGGGGATAGCGGCTACCCCGCTGGACCCGAAGTGCTGCCACTGGCAGGCCAGCGTCACGGGGCCCGACGGCTCGCCCTACGAGGGAGGCGTCTTCTACCTTTACATTGTCATAGAAGTATTGTTATGGCAGCTACATTTATTGCTATCAGATGTTACGCAACGATCCGCCCGAGGGCATAGCGGCTACCCCACTGGACCCGAAGTGCTGCCACTGGCAGGCCAGCGTCACGGGGCCCGACGGCTCGCCCTACGAGGGAGGCGTCTTCTACCTTTACATTGTTATAGAAGTATTGTTATGGCAGCTACATTTATTGCTATCAGATGTTGCGTAACGACCCGCCGGAGGGGATAGCGGCTACCCCGCTGGACCCGAAGTGCTGCCACTGGCAGGCCAGCGTCACGGGGCCCGACGGCTCGCCCTACGAGGGAGGCGTCTTCTACCTTTACATTCAAGTTCCATACGCGTGAGTATATAAATATTAAATATTTTATGTGCACAGGTCAAAGGCAACTGAATGAAATACCAGTTTTATTACACGGCTCGCTCATTTATTAAACGCCGCGACAAACACATCATGCACGATTATTGACTTGATCTAGAAATCTTCTGCGCTTATAAGTGATGCTTTTAAGAAAACACGTTTTTACTTTTATTTAACCTTTTCCTATCTGCTATCACGGTATGTTCGTACCAGTAATTTGTCTGTCAATTTCACGGGGAAACGAGACTTCGATTACGCCCGAGCTCCTTGCTTGTCATCTTATCTAGCCATGAATCCCTATGTCAGAATTCTGAACAGGCATTCCAGTCATAGTTTTTGTGCAGTAGAGACAGTAGAGACTCGTGCAGAGAGAGATAATAATGATGATTTGAGACTAAAATTTAATAAATATGATTGAAGTCATCGAATATCCCATCACTCGCAGGTACCCCATGAGCCCGCCAGTGGTCCGTTTCTTAACTCGAGTGCTGCACCCCAACGTGTCGCGGCACGGCGACGTGGGCATCGACTCCGTGCACCACAACTGGTCGCTGGCGCTCACTATAAGCAAGGTGCTCATCTCCATCCAGAGCCTGCTCACAGATCCATATACCGCGGTCAGTATTCAGGCTGAAGGTGACTCCATTACAGGAACCCAACGAGCCGCCAGTGGTCCGCATTAGTACTGGTCGCTGGGCAGTATACAGGGTGGAATTTTGTAATGCCACCTGGAGGGAAAGAATTCTTAACGTAGATATAAATTTTTACTGAAAGAAAACATTCCTTTATTTTTTAAAAGAAACAGAACTGCATTCACAGATTTTTTAAAAATTTTCGAAAATTCTCTACTATACCATACAATTTTCTGTACATAATTAAAATAACTTAAGATTTCATGGTTTTCCATACATTTGATTTATCAAGTTTGTTAGAGAGATTTCATCCTTATACTTAACCCTAACGATCGATGCAATAAAAATACAGGATGTAATTTTATCAAATTTTAGTGGTTCGATTCCCGGGTGTGGCAAACAAATTTTTAGAAATCTTTGAATGCAGTTCTATTTCTTTTCAAAAATAAAGGAATGTTTCCTGAGGAAACTTTCTATCTACAGTATTAAGAGTACTTTCCCTCCAGGTGGCATCTCAAAATTCCACCCTGTATAGGCTGAACGTGACTCAATGGTGCGTCCACACCGGGTGCACGGCCTCTCGCTGGTGTCATCCTGCTCACTCAAGAGCAGAGTGAGCAGGACGACGTTAGTGGTCCGCTTCTGACGCGCGTGCTGCACCCAACGTGTCGCGGCACGGCGACGTGGGCATCGACTCCGTGCACCACAACTGGTCGCTGGCGCTCACTATAAGCAAGGTGCTCATCTCCATCCAGAGCCTGCTCACAGATCCATATACCGCGGTCAGTATACAGGCTGAAGGTGACTCCGTTACAGGAACCCGACGAGCCGCCAGTGGTCCGCATTAGTACTGGTCGCTGGGCAGTATACACCACTAAATTTTTATCACCGGAAAAAAAATTCTGGGTAATGAGTTATTGATACTATCCTATTTATGAAAAAAAAAAGTTAAATAAAGTTACTTAAAATTTCATCCCAAAATTGGTAATTTATGGACACACGCGTCGCTAGCACTATTTACGGAAGATAATGTAACATTTATTAGAACTCAAAATTACTTGAAGTTAGCTAAGTATGTAATAATAACACTGGAAGCGTGGTCGAGGCGTGAGCGAGACAGACAGATCGGGGCAATATGCGAGTGCGTACGACTACTCTAGCGAGCAGCGGAGTGACCCAGCTGTGACGCGTAAAATACGGACTAAAGAAAATTTAACAAAAAATTCACTTTATGAATTTACATTTATTTTTCTTTTGCTTTAAATTTTTTACACGTTTCTACATAACCTGTTAATTTTTTTTCGGTGATAAAAATGTAGTGATGTATAAGCTGAACGTGACTCCATAATGGTGCGTCCACACCGGGTGCATAGCCTCTCGCTGGTGCCATCCTGCTCACTCAAGAACAGAGTGAGCAGGACGACGTTAGTAGTCCGCTTCTGACGCGCGTGCTGCACCCAACGTGTCGCGGCACGGCGACGTGGGCATCGACTCCGTGCACCACAACTGGTCGCTGGCGCTCACTATAAGCAAGGTGCTCATCTCCATCCAGAGCCTGCTCACAGACCCCTACACCGCGGTCAGTATTCAGGCTGAAGGTGACTCCATTACAGGAATCCGACGAGCCGCCAGTGGTCCGCATTACTACTGGTCGCTGGGCAGTATATAGGCTGAACGTGACTCAATGGTGCGTCCACACCGGGTGCATAGCCTCTCGCTGGTGCCATCCTGCTCACTCAAGAACAGAGTGAGCAGGACGACGTTAGTGGTCCGCTTCTGACGCGCGTGCTGCACCCAACGTGTCGCGGCACGGCGACGTGGGCATCGACTCCGTGCACCACAACTGGTCGCTGGCGCTCACTATAACGTGTGGCGGACGACTGGACGGGGCTTTGTGTATTATCTACGCACACAACGACAATGCGTACCCAACCGGTCTGCGATCGCGATCGAACGTCGAGTCTTTCGTCATCGTAGTGCGCACTCGCTAAAATAATGTTTTGTATAATATCTGAAAGTGTTGTGAATGCTTATACTAAAACGTTTGTTTTTATTTGTATAGAGAACAATAGTGTCTAGACAAACCTAAAGAGGATTTAGGACGCTATTTGGATCAAATATGTAATTGCTCAATAATGAATAATAAATAAATAAAAAAATATAAGCAAGGTGCTCATCTCCATCCAGAGCCTGCTCACAGATCCATATACTGCGGTCAGTATTCATTTAGGTGAAATGATACATGCTTACAGGAAAATCGAAAATGGACATAAGTTACCCAAGACTCAACTACCTATACCTACCAATAAATATAAATTCTGATAAAAGGCTAGACCAGGGGCCAGAATATTTTTTTCGATATGTTGCAAGGGCCATAACAATTTTAATTTTTCTGCCCACCTATGCAAACATAAGCTTAGTCTTAAGCTGTCGTGGGACGGATTGATGGCGGTAGCGGGCCGGATATGGCCGTAGTTTGGAGACCCCTGGGCTAGACTATTGAAAAAACATTAGTCCGTCAATATTATACTATCAAAAAATATCTTTATTTGTCAATCAAACACATAATTACGAAGTTATAGTGCGTTGAAGTTCCTCGTGCAGTCACGCCGTGCTACACTTTTTGCAACGTAGTGACGTCACGAGTTAAACTTTGGTGCGCTTTTTCTCTGTCATTTTTTATTTTATTTGATGAAGCAAAAACTGAGTAATGCATTCTAGGTAGATTTTTATTTAGAACATTTTTATTCTTTTCACAGGTTTGTATGGAGCCAGAAATCGGAGAGATGTATGTACGGGACCGCGCCAGATTCGAAGCCCTCGCGCGGCGGTGGACGTGGCGATACGCGATGCACGACATCCTACCTCACTGAGACGCGGTAAAGTTCACAATCGACTGGCAGAAGCTGTTCTGAGACTAGCCCGCTTGGAAGAGGTACCTAGTCTATGAATGAATCTAAATTAAATCTAGCTATTGAGGCCTTGAAATGCCTTCCCTCTACTACAAAGNGGGTGTAATGACTGTTGCTGCTTGTATTTTTGTTCCTCTCATTTTGATCTATACCTCTTGGTCTTATTACAAAATGTGGGGTGTCATCACTAACAAACACATTGAAGAAAATTCACATAGTTTGTACTAATGAGGAGATGTGAAATGTGGTATTTTGCATGGATTCTAGGCATTTTGATGGCATGCTTCGCAGGTGTACTCAGTGCGCTCTATATCGAACACCATCAAGATTTAGATGAGGAATAATAAAATGGCTGAAGCAATGACAACACCGAAGAATAGTAAAGCTCAAGTGCTTGCAATGACCGTTTCGTTTTTGTTGGCATTGCCACTTGCTGCTATTTTATTGGTACACCCATCATTAATGTTAGATGCCAATGGTCACTACAACCACAGTATGCTGATGCTCGTCATGGTCGGTATTTCTGGCGGTTTTATTCATGGTGTTGGGTTTATACCAAGATTTTGGTTATGGAAATGGTTATTTAGTCCTTATATTGCATGGCCTCTGATGATCTTAGGCTATTATATTTGGATTGGTAATTAATCTTTAACAAATCAAATATAAANATAGCCACGATAGCCGAACGGTGAAGGGGTCGGAGTGGCCGACTCGAGATCCGAGGAACGCGGGTTCGAATCCCACCGCCGCTCGACTATTGTGGTGAGCCCACTCGTAACACAAGCTTATTTAGCTTACCGCGAGGGGCTAACGGGACTATTAGTAATTTGTGCAATGCAAATTGCTAATAATCTTTAAAAAATAAAAAAAGACATCGACTGGCATAAGGTTAGTTAAGCTTCAACCACACCAACGCGTGCAGATCGCCATCGCCGGCGCGATCATGGGCCAATACAGGTCGCGCGACCCATGACAGTCCGAAAGACCTGTCATTGGCCTATGATCGGGCTGTGATCGCGCTGGCGATGGAAGTTTTACTGAGCGTCACCTTGGTAACGGCCTCAGCCCTGTTAGCGCTCCTGCAAACGACGCCGCCGCCGCGCCGCCCCCGCGTGAAGTCTGCTGCCGCGCCGTCAAAGCCGGATCGGTGAAATTATGCTTTGACGTCGCGGTGGCGGCGCGCGGCGGCGGGCTTTACTCGGCGCGTATGAACAGTGTAGGGGCGCGGTGGCGGCGTCGTGTGCAGGAGCGCTTACAGTACGATGTATAGATGCTGGGCCGCCTTCACGGCGCGCCGCTGGCCGCTGTACCACCCGCTACTCACCAATATTGACTGGCATAAGGTTTGTGGCTAGGCCAAAAAATTCCGCAGTGGAAAAACCGCGGGATTATTTCCAAACTCACTCACATTTTGTGCGTTTACGTTGCTGCCGTGGTTGCTATTGTCGCGCGTAAACTTGGTGGGCGATTATGGCAAGACGCGCTTTATAACAGAAAGAACCACAGCCGCCCGTCAACCAATCGCTGAGTGCACGGGCGCAAACCGCCGAGGCTGCGGGTGACGATGCACGACTTACGCTAAGTGTCATCTCTTTATGGCCATATTAGGTGTACCCAGCTTCTAGCCCAAGTTGTATCATCTGCTGGAAAATGATTATCGCCTTAATACATAACTACATCACTGTTAGTTAATTTTGCAGGGCAATCGAATCGCACTTAGCCTCTTGGGCCATTGTGCGCAACAACATTACTGTAAGATTTCATTGGTTTACACGTCCCAAACGTTGTTCATAATTTCCCCATAGCATTTAGCCTCTTGATTAGGCCAACATTACTGTAAGCGTGCCGCGTAAAACCCGCCGCCGCGCCGCCACCGCGCCGTCAAAGCATTATTTCACCGGTCCGGCTTTGACGGTGCGGTGGCGGCTCAGCAGCGGGCTTCACACGGCGCGTATAAACAGTGCAAAGGCGCGGGTGCGGCGCGGTGGCGGCGTCGTGTGCAGGACGCTAAGATTTCATTGTTTTACGTGTTTCAAATGGTCCTCATAATTCTCAGAAGTACCAGTCGCTGGTGGAGTCGTGCTTCTGCCGCAACTGCTTAGTGCAGATGTGCGTGCAGGCGCAGCCGGCCGGCGAGGAGAACGCCTGGCGCCGGAACCGCCTGCGGAACGAACTCAAGGTTTGTTTCTTTGACACATGCTAAATAAATATTCTACTAGGTGGACCGACGATCTGGTGAAGGTCGAGGAAAGTACCTGATTGCAACCAGCGCAGGATCGGACGTTGTAGTGTGAAATCCTTGCGGTAGGCCTTTATCCAGCAGTGGACATCACTGGATGAAACGAAAATATCCCATTTCAATACACATCGCTAGTCCGTAGTATTTTTAACTGGCACTATAGGCAGGCTGGCACTGACGCCAAGAATATCAATATTTATGTACTATCGGCAACAGTGTTAACTGCCCATTGACGGTCATGTCATCTCGTTCTATCGCAAAGAATCACCATTTGTTGAGAGCGAGAGCAAAAACGGATATGGATAGTTAACACTGTGGCCGTGTGTACATTTGTCCTAATAAATGAATAACGTAATTATTTTTCTACTTTATAGTGCAGGTTTTTTGGAATTGGTTTTTTTTTGTTAAAATAAATTTTAGCATTAAATGATAAGTAAGCTGTAATAGTTTCTTAAAGAAATATTGTAGAGCAACTATTTACGCTATCAGATGTTGCGCAACGACCCGCCCGAGGGGATAGCGGCTACCCCACTGGACCCGAAGTGCTGCCACTGGCAGGCCAGCGTCACGGGGCCCGACGGCTCGCCCTACGAGGGCGGCGTCTTCTACCTTTACATACAAGTTCCATACGCGTGAGTATCATTCTCTTTATGCTCATATTATGTCACGGGCAACCGGTTGAAATTGCCATTTTTGGCACGGCTAGCTCATTTATTGAACACTGCCATTCATGTTCCTATCCTAACAAAACATTTTTACTCCGAAATTACTGTGCCAATTTGAAAAAATCTTTCACCATTAGAATCCTACAATATCTATCATGAACATAGGTGGTACCTACTAAGTTCGCCGGGTCAGCTAGTTACAAAATAACTGGATTTGTTATAAAAAAATGAATCTGCAATTTTTCTGGCCTGAACTTGTGGCTTGCCTCACCATGAATCATCGCTAATATCAGAACTCTCTGAACGAGATGAGTGGACTAAGGCTTTTAGCCATAATGTTTGCTCAGTGCACTAAATTAGTTGATGATGATTAAAATCAACGAATATCCCATCGCAGGTACCCAATGAGCCCGCCAGTGGTCCGTTTCTTAACTCGAGTGCTGCACCCCAACGTGTCGCGGCACGGCGACGTGGGCATCGACTCCGTGCACCACAACTGGTCGCTGGCGCTCACTATAAGCAAGGTGCTCATCTCCATCCAGAGCCTGCTCACAGATCCATATACCGCGGTCAGTATACAGACTGAAGGTGACTCCATTACAGGAACCCGACGAGCCGCCAGTGGTCCGCATTAGTACCGGTCGCTGGGCAGTATACACCACAAAATTTTTATCACCGAAAAAAAATTCTGGGTAATGAGTTATTGATACAGATCCTATTTATGCAAAAAAAAAAAGTTAAATAAAGTTACTCAAAATTTCATCCCAAAATTGGTAATTTATGGACACACGCGTCGCTAGCACTATTTACGTAAGATAATGTAACATTTATTAGAACTCAAAATTACTTGAAGTTAGCTAAGTATGTAATAATAACAATGGAAGCGTGGTCGAGGCGTGAGCGAGACAGACAGATCGGGGCAATATGCGAGTGCGTACGACTACTCTAGCGAGCAGCGGAGTGACCCAGCTGTGACGCGTAAAATACGGACTAAAGAAAATTTAACAAAAAAATTCACTTTATGAATTTACATTTATTTTTCTTTTGCTTTAAATTTTTCACACGTTTCTACATAACCTGTTAAATTTTTTTCGGTGATAAAAATGTAGTGGTGTATAAGCTGAACGTGACTCAATGGTGCGTCCACACCGGGTGCACGGCCTCGCGCTGGTGTCATCCTGCTCACTCAAGAGCAGAGTGAGCAGGACGACGTTAGTGGTCCGCTTCTGACGCGCGTGCTGCACCCAACGTGTCGCGGCACGGCGACGTGGGCATCGACTCCGTGCACCACAACTGGTCGCTGGCGCTCACTATAAGCAAGCTGCTCATCTCCATCCAGAGCCTGCTCACAGATCCATATACCGCGGTCAGTATACAGGCTGAAGGTGACTCCATTACAGGAACCCGACGAGCCGCCAGTGGTCCGCATTAGTACTGGTCTCTGAGCAATACCTATATAGGCTGAACGTGACTCAATGGTGCGTCCACACCAAGTGCATAGCCTCTCGCTGGCGTCATCTTGCTCACTCAAGAGCAGAGTGAGCAGGACGACGTTAGTGGTCCGCTTCTGACGCGCGTGCTGAACCCAAAGTGTCGTGGCACGGCGACGTGGGCATCGACTCCGTGCACCACAACTGGTCGCTGGCGCTCACTATAAGCAAGGTGCTCATCTCCATCTAGAGCCTGCTCACAGATCCATATACTGCGGTCAGTATTCATTTAGGTGAAATGATACATGCTTACAGGAAAATCGAAAATGGACATAAGTTACCCAAGACTCAACTACCTATACCTACCAATAAATATAAATTCTGATAAAAGGCTAGACCAGGGGCCATAATAATTTTAATTTTTCTGCCCACCTATGCAAACATAGGCTTAGTCTTAAGCTGTCGCGGGCCGGATTGATGGCGGTAGCGGGCCGGATATGGCCGTAGTTTTGAGACCCCTGAGCTAGACTATTGAAAAAACATTAGTCCGTCAATTATACTATCAAAAAATATTGGAGACGTATATCTTTATTTGTCAATCAAACACATAATTACGAAGTTATAGTGCGTTGAAGTTCCTCGTGAAGTCACGCCGTGCTACACTTTTTGTAGTGACGTCACGTGTTAAACTTTGACGCGTTTTATCTGTCATTTTTTATTTTATTTGATGAAGCTAAAACTGAGTAATGCTACCTTTTTAGGCAGATTTTTATTTATAACATTTTTATTCTTTTCACAGGTCTGTATGGAGCCAGAAATCGGAGAGATGTATGTACGGGACCGCGCCAGATTCGAAGCCCTCGCACGACGGTGGACGTGGCGATACGCGATGCACGACATCCTACCTCACTGAGACGCGGTAAAGTTCACAATCGTCTGGCAGAAGCTGTTCTGAGACTAGCCCGCTTGGAAGAGGTACCTAGTCTATGAATGAATCTAAATGAAATCTAGCTATTGAGGCCTTGAAATTCTGTTCTGATGCCTTCCCTCTGCTACAAAGCATATTGTAATATATTTTATGTATTTCATGCTACAAAACATGTTTGTCTGATGCTTAATGGAATTTAGTGGTTTCAGTATAAAGTAGTAGACGAGTAAAATGTATCATTTATGTAGTCTATGTCCCATATTCCTTAAAATTATGGATTGTATAATTTTTGGTACACAGAAACTGCAACAATGTTAGTCAAAGTTATTTATTAGTATTATTAATCTTACAATCAACACTGGTATTTATCAAATATGGAACCCTAAAAAGACAGTTATGTGTTTTGGGTGGCTCTTTAAAATTTATGATGAGTTGTAGACCACAGGAAACTACTGTCTTGCCGGCTACAACGCATTTTGCAATCAGTCAAAGGGTGCAATCACTTGTAAAAAGTTTTTAGATCGTGAATGTGACATCACAAGTCTAATTTTTAATGTTGTGGGCATTGTCTATCGTATCTCATGGTCTGACCTTGTGTAAATAGTCCATTAAACTATCAAGTTCACGGTTTTTGCCAATATTTTAGTTAATTAGCTTAATAAAAAGCATTTGAAAGAAAAATATTCCCATTGGGAACTAGAAAATGCATAGCAAATAATTAAATTATGATGTAATTTTGTATTAAACTTAGAAACAATTTAGGAAATTGTTATTCTAATGGTGCGTCCACACTGGGCGAACGGGCTCGCGCGGCAAACTCGACATCCTGCTCACTCATGAGCAGGGTGAGCAAGGATGTCGAGTTTGCCGCTCGAGCCTGTTCGCCCAGTGTGGACGCACCATAAAATACTACAACTACTATAACTGTATATACCTACTTATGCACGTATTAAAATTTAATTGTTTTGTACAGGGTGTTGACTTCAATGCGTGCTGTATTTGGGGGACGAATACTCGTTATGATACGAAAAACTTTCATTAAATACATTAATTATAGTACATTCGTATAAATATAGTACAAATTCAAATCAATACCCTGTAAAAAACATTACGATTGGAAAGGCTGTGTAAATAACTATGAAAGTAAATTTATAATATGCTGTAATTGTGTATTAAAGTTTATATTTAAAATCTCGATTTTTTTACTTAATTGCTAGTCCTTTAATCTTTTTCCATATTTCGCTGAGTTGTTCACAGTTGCACAGGTAAGGCAAACAGTGGCTACTGCCTGGAGCCCTGCAGTACCCTGGATAAGGCGCTTCGCCCTTTGGCAACCATCTTCTTGTGTTCCCATACAAATATGGTTCCAGGTACGTCATCAAGCATTTTGTCTAAGACGTCTTGCAGACACTCCAGGCACCATTTTGATTAAATTATTCGTTGTTTGAATACACTTCAGACATTTTTGTATAATTTATAACGTGATTTGTGATTGATGGATTTCTCAGTTTTTTACAAGTGTCAAAAAGACATTTTAAAGACAATAGATTGCAATAGATATTTAAAAATACAATAAAAAGTAAAAAAGTCTTCATCGCCATCACCAACAAGTGATGTGCATGCGTTACGATAATTAGTGATGTGTTTAACAGATTGTCGATAAAATAAAATACTCAAGATTAAAAAAAAAATTTTTCGGGCATTATTTTTTAACGGATTTGTGATCAGTATCAGTAATATAGTCACCTCTGTAAATATGGCAAGAATGCAAAGTAACACCCTGTATAGTACAAATTCAAATCAATACCCTGTAAAAAACTTTTTGATTGGAAAGGCTGTGTAAATAACTATGAAAGTAAATGTATGATGTGCTGTAATTGTGTATTAAAGTTTATATTTAAAATCTCGATTTTTTTATTTAATTGCTAGTCCTTTAATCTTTTTCCATATTTCGCTGAGTTGTTCACAGTTGCACAGGTAAGGCAAACAGTGGCTACTGCCTGGAGCCCTGCAGTACCCTGGATAAGGCGCTTCGCCCTTTGGCAACCATCTTCTTGTGTTCCCATACAAATATGGTTCCAGCTCGCGTTTGCTAAAGGGAACTATAGCGGTACGTATTTTGAAACTGCCCGGTACCAAATAATGGACGTACGCTGCGAATGTTATGTACCCCTGAAAAATACGAGGTTTGTGATTTCTGACAAAATCATTATATTTGGGGTATGAAATAGTATTGAGTAGTGGGATTATTGTTTCCAACAAAACAAGATAAACATCATGCTAGCAGAAATAAGTTTTATTTATTACATAATATCTTTGTTATTTCCTAGCCTAGCTACAATAATAAATCATTCATTATATTCTGAGTGTAATAAGTATAATAACTTACGTGAATACCAGTTATCTGGAAATCTATAGGATGTATAATCATCTCAAGTACTTTTTTTGTATTGCATCAATTTCAAGAAGTACCTATTATACGGTGTTATTGCAGTGCAATCAATTACAGTACGGTTTCAATTAAAAATTATGTTTCATTTTTATTCTGTATTTCCTTGTTCTTGTGGTTACACGATAGGAGTAATAATTAACATGAACTATTTTTTTTACGTACCTAACTTACTAGATTTTTTTCGCATTTTATTTCTTTTTTAGTTAATAATAAAACAAAATATTTTCAAGTACCATATAAACGCAAGACAATTAATGAATTAACCTATCTACGAGTACTATTATATTATTGAGTAAGATTACAACAATAAAATCTTGTTTAAAATAACTATCTCTAAGTTGTAAGATATTTAAAAATTATAATTAGGAATTAATATTTTAACCATCACCATAACAATAGTGATTAATCAAGTTACATATCGATTTTACCATTAATTATTTTACCAATGTCGTATTACCAAAATCGTTTAATATCTTTCTCATGTTCTTCATGTTGTTCGTCTACGAGATCCTCTTCTTGTTCTCTCCCTGGACTTGCCACGAGACCTTCCCCTGGATTGGTCTCTCGATCTGTCCCTGGACTTGCCACGAGACCTTCCCCTGGATCTGTCTCTCGATCTCTCCCTGGACTTACCACGAGACCTGCCCCTGGATCGGCCTCTCGATCTCTCCCTAGACTTGCCGCGAGATCTTCCCCTGGATCGACCTCTAGATCTCTCCCTGGACTTGCCACGAGACCGTCCCCTGGACCTGCCTCGCGATCTGCCACGAGACTTTCCCCTGGATCGGCCCCTCGATCTCTCCCTGGATTTACCACGAGATCTTCCCCGGGATCTGCCTCTAGATCTCTCCCTGGATTTACCACGAGACCTTCCTCTCGACCTACTTCGAGATTTATCTCTAGACTTCAATTCAGACTGAGATTCAGACCTGTCTCCAGATCTTTTTCGCAGCCTACCTCGGGATGCGTCTCTTGATCTTCCTCTAGAATGTTCTCTCGATCGGGATCGCTCTCTGCACGTATGAGCTTCATCTCTGTAAGCAAAAATATCACTGTTTGAACGTGTAACCCTCGTAGTCTCCAGTCCGTGGTTGTTCACTGTTTCGTTATTTACCTCAATTATTTCTATGTTTCCAGAGCTTCGGTTTCGTTCCGGGCAAGCGTCGTTTCTTCGAACTTCGATCACTAATAACGTATCCATGGTATAATTTGGAATAAAATCACTTGACGTGTGCTATGAGACGGATGGATTCCCAATGATAGCACTGGAACGGGATCCTAGTATTTATATTGATATCTAATTACATAATGATTTCAAGTGTTATGAAATGCAGTTGTTATCATGAGTCATTTGTTTGTTAGACAATATTGCACAATAATTTCAAATGTTGTGCAATCTGGTGTCAATTTGCATGTTTTAAATCAAATGTTGACTGGCAGTAACATGGCAGTATTAAGCTCGCCTCTATAAAGTTGCATAATAATTTCAAATATTATGCAATCTTATAGAGGCGAGCTTGTGCAAAGTTGTGTAAGCTCTGTTTTTAAACTATTGATAATAAGCCTTTTGTACCCTTTGCACCACCGGCCACAATTAATTATGCTGGTGTGAAAAATGCAAACTGCTAAACATTTTATCTTTGCAAAAAATCTGAAATTATCAAGAACTCTGATCTAAATTGATCGTGATTTCATTTACCTAAAACGAGAGAACTCATTACGATTGACTTATTTTAGCTGTAGAATTAAGAAAACGCGTAAAACGTGTGCGGCCGCACAGGCGTTGCGATCGAAAATCTGCCTGACGGACTAAATAGAATTTCGATTTCATTACCCAGTCATCATCCCTATTGTAGTCATCAGCTATTAATAATAAAATTAAATAAGAAACATCATTATTTTAATTACATTTCATTTATTGTTCTTAAAGTAGGTACATCATTCAATTGAACTTTACTAAGGACCTTCATCAAAAGGGAAAACATGCGTAATTTCCTCGCATGTTTCATTATTATGTCAATATTTACGGAGAATTGGAAATGTCCATGTTATCCGGCGAGTTTTTCTCTTCATTCATGTCCGGAAGTTTGCTTTCGATGCTTGTAATATCCTTTTCTTCTATAACCGACAAGTTAGGGCTCCGATCACGGGTCCTTCTGTCGTGAGGAGTCTTGGAGTCCCTGTGGGACCTGCTCTTGGACCGGCGGCTGCCGGAACGTGACCTTTTTCTATCACGGGATCTGGACCGCTTCCTGTCGCGAGAACGAGTGCGCTTTCTATCGCGAGACCGCGACCTCTTTCTGTCCCGCGAGCGAGAGCGTTTTCTGTCACGTGACCGCGAACGTTTGCGATCACGGGAGCGCGACCTCTTCCTGTCGCGAGATCGGGACCGCCTGCGAGACCGAGAACGCTTTCTTCTAGATCTAGAGCGAGATCTGCGCCTAGACCGAGACCTGTCTCGTTTCCTTTCCTTAGACCTGGACCGTTTCTTCGATGGTGATCGCTCCTTCTCTTTCTCAACTTCTTTTTCTTTGTCATCTGCAGGAGTAGATGCTTTAGATTTAACTTCAGTACCATTCCCATTGGTCTCGGCGACTTCAAATTTGACTTCTTCCTTTTCTTCTTTCTCGACTTCTTTTGGTGGTGGTGGTGGAGGAGGTGATTTGGATTTTTCTTTCTTCTCCTTGTCGTTGGATTCTTTTTTGTCTTTCCGATCTCGGTCGCGGTCTCGGGAACGGTCACGTTTAGAACGTGAGCTGCGATGACGTGATCTTGATCTTGAGCGTCGAGAACTCCGATGGCGGGAATGTGATCTGTGAAAAAAAATGGTTGTATAGTTTTACAAAATTATTGAATGCCTATTAATAAAACTGTAATCTGTGTATGTACAGGAAAGTATTTTATCTCAATTCGTTAAATACAGTTAGCGACGCGTGGTGGAAGCGAGACCTCAGTTGTAAAATATTACTACGTGGATGTTATGTGTTTTAAAAAATAAACCAAAAATCCTGTCTGTAACATATTAGCATGTGTCTTGCAAGCATTTACTAGTAACACCATCAAGCAAGACAGATTTCCTAGATGTAGGCATATGAAGCCCTTCTTCTGGAGGCGACAGGTTTGCTTTTGAATGGAACTCTTGAGATTGATCTACTTCATTTCATTAGTTAGACCTAAAAGCTTATGTACCTATTTTTAATTCAAAGCTCAAATCAAGTATACCTGTATTTGTAGATAGATATGGTACAAGTACAGTCAAGTTCGTGACACTCAAAGTAGGTAGCCGAAAAGTTCGCAACACGTCTTTGTTACATAGTCTTGTCAGCTTTTTGGACACTTTGGGTGTCACGAACTATTTGACGCTGACTGTACCTAGAATATGTAAGTGAGCTGCCACACTGGTGGATTGCAAGCGGTTTCAAAGCGGAGCGGTGACGAGGCGGAAACGTTGCGCAAACGGCGGCGCCTTCGCCGCTCCGCTTTGAAACCGCTTATAATCCACCGGTGTGGCAAGGCCCTAATGTAGACGAGCCAAATCTGACATGTTTATGTGAAATAGTTTTTGAGTTATTAGGGGGTCAAAAGTGGCTCCAAATGGTTTGTGTAATATTACACACGGTGCTGCTCTGTTCTGTTACTTAAACTTGGCAGGACACGCTACCGCGTGTCTCGATAGCTTACCTGGAGCGATGCCTGTGGCGCGACCGCGAGTGGCGCGAGCGATGGCGGGAGCGCGACCGCGAGCGCTTGGTGCGGTGCCGCGAGCGCCGGCGGGAGCGGGAACGAGTTCTGTGACCTTAGATACGTGAGATAGCTTACCTGGAGCGATGCCTGTGGCGCGACCGCGAGCGGCGCGAGCGATGGCGGGAGCGCGACCGCGAGCGCTTGGTGCGGTGCCGCGAGCGCCGGCGGGAGCGGGAACGAGTTCTGTGACCTTAGATACGTGAGATAGCTTACCTGGAGCGATGCCTGTGGCGCGACCGCGAGCGGCGCGAGCGATGGCGGGAGCGCGACCGCGAGCGCTTGGTGCGGTGCCGCGANAAATGGCGTTTCAGTATTCGGCCGTCAATGTATTAAATACAGTTAGCGACGCGTGGTGGAAGCGAGACCTCAGTTGTAAAATATTACTACGTGGATGTTATGTGTTTTAAAAAATAAACCAAAAATCCTGTCTGTAACATATTAGCATGTGTCTTGCAAGCATTTACTAGTAACACCATCAACCAAGACAGATTTCCTATATGTAGGTATAGGACGCCCACCTTCTGGAGGCGACAAGTTTGCTTTTAAATGGAACTCTTGAGATTCATTTCATTTCTTAGACCTAAAAGCACCTATTTTAAATTCACAGCTCAAATTAAGTGTCCCTATCTGTAGATATCGTACAATACTTACAGTAAAGTTTGTGACACTCAAAGTAGCCGAAAGGTTCGCAACACGATAGTGTTGTCAGCTTTTTGGACACTGGGTGTCACGAACTAAACATATATGACGCTGACTGTACCTAGATTATAGCCGAGTCCACACTACGGCTAAACCGCCGTGGTTTTTAACCGCGTGATTTTATAACCAAGTAAAACTAATGTAAGTCTTTCAGGCGGTCTTGTGGTTTGGCGGTTCACCGCTTGCGGGAAAAAACCGTAGTGCGGACTCAAGCCTTAGTAATGTAGATAGCTTACCTGGAGCGATGGCGGGAGCGCGACCGCGAGCGCTTGGTGCGGTGCGCTCCCGCCATCGCCATCCCGCATTTATTGGTGCGGTGGTGCGGAAGCGGGAGCGGGAACGAGTTCTGTGACCTTAGATACNCACATACAGGTGAAAAACCGTTCTCATGTAACTATTGCAATTACAAGACTGCTGTACAATCTAGTTTAATTAGACATATACGGACACATACAGTTAAAAAGCCGTTCTCATGTAACTATTGTCATTACAAGACGGCTGTAAAATCAGATTTAATTAGACATATACGGACACATACAGGTGAAAAACCGTTCTCATGTAACTATTGCAATTATAAGACCGCCGTAAAATCAAGTTTAATTAAACACGAAAGGACACATACAGGTGAAAAACCGTTCTCATGTAACTATTGCAATTATAAGACCACTCAAAAATCAACTTTAATTAAACACGAAAGGACACATACAGGTGAAAAACCGTTCTCATGTAACTATTGTCATTACAAGACTGCATATAAAGATGTTTTAGTCCATCATATACGGATACATACAGGTGAAAAACCGTTCTCATGTAACTATTGCAATTATAAGACCACCGTAAAATCAATTTTAATTAAACACGAAAGGACACATACAGGTGAAAAACCGTTCTCATGTAACTATTGCCATTATAAGACCACTCAAAAATCTAATTTAATTAGACATAATATACGCACACATACAGGTGAAAAACCGTTCTCATGTAACTATTGCCATTACAAGACCGCATTAAAATGTAATTTAACTAATCATATACGGACACATACAGGTGAAAAACCGGTCTCATGTAACTATTGCCATTATAAGACTACTAAAAAATCAACTTTAATTAAACACGAAAGGACACATACAGGTGAAAAACCGATTTGAGGTAAACAGTCACTATAGAAAAAAATTCTTCAGTAATTATTTCAGTCGGTTGTAGGTATAGTTAGTAGTATAAAAGCAGTAAAAGATGTAGCTAAAAGTCTTTGGTGTAAGTATACTATACAGGGTGGAAACGATAAGTGATCTCACTCGATTATTTCTAAACTATACAAGAATCGAAAAATTGATTACTGATCCTGAAAGTGCTTACCGCGTACGTGCTTACCCAGTTTTTGGATATCTTGTATAGTTTTTAATATTATGTGGTTTTTATGTATGGAAGCTGGAAACATTGAATTTTCGGATAGATCCATTTATTTTGTAACCTATTATTGGTACCGTTGGATAGAGCTCGGGAAGCACTTTCAGGATCAGTAACCAGTTTTGGGATATCTTGTGTAGTTTAGAAATAATCGAGTGAGATCACTTATCGTTTCCACCCTGTAAAGGGAGGCACACAGAAAAGGCCAAATTTACCAACAACGAGAACCGAACATAGGACCACTTAAGGCAATGTTATATAGAAGGTAAGTAGGTACGTCATATTTTTCTTAGGTTCCGTTATTACTATTTTACACAATACTTTAAGAATAGNGAGCGCCGCGACCGGGACCGCGAGCGCCGGCGGGAGCGGGAGCGGGAACGGGTTCTGTAGCCAATTAAAATGTATTAGGGACTGCCTGCTACCAATACAGTATTTTGTGTAGGGTAAACTTCCAGTTATTGGACACTTATGGGCCAGTTAGGCTGATTTCACAGCTGTCCGGGAGACCCGTACGGGCTGGTACTACGGGCGCCCGGAGCAGGAGCACACATGAGGAGGTAGAACATCGTTTCACAGCGAAGCGGATTGGTGCGCACGCGACTAGCACCGGGCAGCGCCCGTATAAAGCAATTGTATCGTATTGAATGAATCCACGTTTCAGTGCGCTGCGGGCGTGATCCGTACGGGTCTCCCGGACAGCTGTGAAATCAGCCTTATGGGCGAGTTATTGGACACTTAATTAAACGCAGCATTTCTATTTTAACAACTAAGAGATTCTGACTTATGGACATAAAAGGGTGTTAAGTTGCAATTTGAATTTGAAGTAACATTCATAAAAGGATGTTCAAGCGGTGTTTTGTCCAATAACTGGCAGTTTACCCTACCCAGTTTCATGAACAAAATCAAAAACTAATTAAAATGTCAAGTTAGTAAAAAATATCATTAATTCAGTCTTGTGTTATTATTACAAACAATGTAATTGAAATCAATAACAAAACAAAAAAGTGAGTTCAGAACTGCTTAGTTTAATTATCAAGTTGTTGATACCTTCCTCTTTCTGGGAGTTGATTCACAAATAGATAACAATTTATATTTTGATTTGATAACAAAGAATGGAATGCAATGACTGACACATATACTGGTTACAGATGGCCAAAATTACCAATTTAGGGACTAAGTTTCTTTGCGAGATCGAATCAGAAATGAGGAGATCCGTAAACGAACCAAAGTCGCTGACATAGCCCGACGTATTAGCAAGCTGAAGTGGCAATGGGCAGGGCACATAGTACGCAGAACTGACGGCCGATGGGGCAGAAAGGTTCTGGAATGGAGGCCGCGTACCGGAAAACGCAGCGTGGGACGTCCACCTACAAGGTGGACCGACGACATCGTAAAGCTAGCAGGGAAGCGCTGGACGCAGGCCGCTACCAATCGATCAACATGGAAAGCATTGGGGGAGGCCTATGTTCAGCAGTGGGCGTCCTGTGGCTGAAATGATGATGATGATGATGAGGGTCTAAGGAAGTTCGAACAGCCACACAGCTTAACATAAACACTTAACTTGTAGTTTTTAATTTCCAGAATGAATTCAATTCTTATATTGCTCAGATTTCAATATTCAATCTGTTTTCCAACCAAGCTTGAATCTATCATTTTTGGGTTATTTTATAATTAGGTCTTTTAATACTGATTGTAAAAAACGGAATAATTACATTACAAATTACTGAGATCTAATGCATTCATTAAATTAAAGAATTGCAAGTATAAATTATTGCGCTCTAATGCATTAATTAATTAACGAGGTAAATACTAGCCCAGATGTATTAGGAAAATATGTTTATAACTAAGTAATACCTTCGTTTGTCTTTAGAAAGTAGCCCAATGACTGGATCGATGGCAGCAGAGATTAAATTTTGGGCCTCTTTCACCCGACACATTGCCTCCTCAATCTCCCTCTGCGCTGCTTCGTTACTTTTTGTCTGTGGCTTGGAGATTGCTTGTGTGGCATGATGTACCTGGATAAGAAAAAACAACATTAAAACATGCTATTAAAAATNGAGCGCCGCGACCGGGACCTCGAGCGCCGGCGGGAGCGGGAGCGGGAACGAGTTCTGTAGCCAATTAAAATGTATTAGGGACTGCCTGCTATCTGTACAGTATTTTGTGTAGGGTAAACTTGCAGTCATTGGACACTGGGCCATGTACTTGAGTTATTGGACACTTATTTAAACGCAGCATTTCTTTTTCAACAACTAAGAGATTCTGACTTATGGACTTAACCTCTCAGCCCCCAAGCGGTAGCTGGCTACCGCGTAACAATTGATTATAAATTGTGTCTAGATTCGCGGAGTTTGAAGGATTAAAAGGGTGTTAAGTTGCAATTTGAATTAACATAAAAAGGCCACTCAAGCGCTGTTTTATCCAATAACTGGTAGCATCCAATGACTGGCAGTTTACCCTACTCAGTTTCATGAACATAAAGTAAAAAACTAATTAAAATATCAAGTTGGTAAAAAATACCATAAATTCAGTCTTATGTTATTATTACAAATTATGTAATTGAAATCAATCAAAACAAAAAAGTAAGTTCAGAACTGCATAATCTAATAATATCAAGTTGTCCTTCCTCTCTCTGGGAGTTGATTCACAAATAGATAACAATTTATATTCTAATTTGATAACAAAGAATGGAATGCAATGACTGACATAATAACACATACTGGTTACAGATGGCTAAAATTACCAATTTAGGGACTAAGGAAGTTCGAACAGCCACACAGCTTAACATAACCACTATCTTGTAGTTTTAAGTTTCCAGCATGAATTCAATTCTGATATAGCCCAGATTTCAAAATTCAAACCATTTTCCAACCAAGCTTGAATGTATCATTTTTGGGTTATTTTATAATTAGGGTGTTTATTAGACTAATTGTAAAAAACTGAATAATTACATTACAAATTACTGAGAGATCTCAGTAATTTGTAATGTAATTATACATTCAAAGGTAAAGAATAGCAAGTACAAATTATTGCAGTCTAATCCATTAATTAATTAATGAGGTAAATACTAGCCCAGAAAGATGTATTATACAAATGTTTTTAACGAAATAAAGTCAATTACCTTCGTTTGTCTTTAGAAAGTAGCCCAATGACTGGATCGATGGCAGCAGAGATCAAATTTTGGGCCTCTTTCACCCGACACATTGCCTCCTCAATCTCCCTCTGCGCTGCTTCGTTACTCTTTGTCTGTGGCTTGGAGATTGCTTGTGTGGCATGATGTACCTGGATAAGAAAAAACAACATTAAAACATACTATTAAAAATACTACATATATGGGTTTAAGTTGTAATTAGGATAAGTACTTGAAAGCTCATTAAGCTAACTAATTACTAATTAACCTTACTTAAGTAATCCTTAATTTGTTACATAATAAAAAATCATATAGGTAGTTTCAATAATAAAGATCTGTTTTTCTATAAGCGAGTTAAAGTTTAGGTTTTATTATAAAACATGAAATCACAGCTTACCCTGATAGTTTGCCCATCAACAGTTGATCCATTCAGCTGCAAAGCCTTGATCACACTTTCCTGTTCAGTCATCTCAATCAATGCATACTTCAGTGTGTCAACATCTCTATCACAGAAGCGCATGTACTTCACTTCCCCTGCCTGGCAGAAGTGATCGATCAGCTGCTGTTGAGTCAATGATCCCACATCTACCAATAACAATGTTCTTCTAATCTCCTCCACTTGTCTTGAGTCGTAAGCAGCCGGCAAGGGCGGGTATGGGGGCAAACCAGCAGCAGCCATCTTCGGGTCATGTGTCTGGATCACCTGGTTCGGCGGTACACCTTCCAAAGCGTTGATAACGTGCGCGGGAAGTCGCGGCTCCACTGTACTCAAACCCGGCACTAATGTGCCGTTGCTAGACATCTCCAGGGCTTTATGTTCATCTGGGATCTCTCCGGATTGCATAGGAATCACGATCAACGCACGGTCTATGAACACCGTGTTGGTCATATGCTGGGCTACGTTGACAGTCGCCGAATCGTAATATTTAACGTAACAAATTCGAGACTGTACGGGGCAAGAAACATCTCTGATGGTTGGATAGAGTCTAATGTCATCTATTTTACCTAAATATCCAAAAAGCGTCTGCATTTGATCCTTCGTTGCTTGAGGAGCGATGTTGGTGACTTGTATCACCCTCGTACTGCCCGAAACCATTTTCGATGATTTACACATCAAAACAAACTTATAATGTAACAATATTTCATGAATAGGTAAAAATATTTATAACTTAAAAAGTAATCTTGATTTCTACATTGTAACGCATGACTTTTTACACAAATCGTAATTTACAGACGCACACACAAATCCACAAAAATGAATGACAGAAGAAAAGAAAAAGCACGCTGGTTTGCAAATGTCAAATAGGGATGTACCACAAGCAACCGGTACTAGTACTACCGGTATGTGGTAAATGCCATCGAGAAGAACATTGGAGCTGACATATTTATGGATTAAATGACTACGACTACTTTTATCGTCTCCGAGTGGACATGATACGAGAAAAATAACCCTTCGACAATGCAAAATAGAAATTCAATGATGTTAACATTATGTCTTTCTTAATTTCCATAAAATATACACATATTAAAACTTGCCTTGTTAAATAGTATGGTCATGGTCACTCATTGAATCATAACTCATCTATAGCTACTCCTAAACTATATTTGCAAAGACAAGCAGTTTCGTTTCTGAATGTTGGTACACTGGTATACCTACGCGGGATAAAATTGGCGCGAAATCTAAACTTTCTTCCAAATCATAGAATTTAATTTTGATGTAAAAGAAAGTAACACATAATATTTATTTTATGTTTAGCATGGCGTTTCATTGCAATAAAATAGATACATTGAAGTTAACACTTAATACAGGTATACATAATATTATCTTACTAACAGTTTGTTTATGTAACTACTAGCTGACCCAGCGAACTTTGTTCCGCCTTAATGGCAATAAAAAGTATCCTATGTCCTTCTCCTGGCTCTAAACTACCTCCCTGTCAATTTTCAGCTAAATCGGTTCAGCCGTTCTTGAGTTATAAGTGGAGTAACTAACACGACTTTCTTTTATATATATAGATTAACAGTAATGTAATGTAAAGCATTACCAGTAATTAATCTGTAACAAGATTTTATCTTATAAACACAGCTTCGAAAAGAAAATTACAAAAAGACATAGAAGGACTTCAATTACGTAACTTGGAAAGACAATATTCAGAAGAATTAACAACAATCGCAACTGAAATTGAATTAACAACAGAACAGCTAACGGTGAATATTTTTGAAAATATTAGACACCACATGTTATAGAGAGATATCATCTTATCCATCTGGCGTAATTTATTATTTTTAGGAACAAAAGAATATGCTATCTCTTGCTCGACATCAAATTTCACTAGTGGAGATATGCACAACATCAGAGAAATCCAAAATACAAAACGCGATAACTGAATTAAACGACCATAAAAGAAGTTTTGTGGACGAATTTGACAAAGGTAAGAAATTGAAAAATAATAATAGATGAATAAATGACTAGAACTCTAGCTCCAAACTTTACTTAGTTTGTAATTTTGCGATATTTTTTTTATTTTTAGTGCGCGTTATATCAGAGATGCGCAAGAGAGAGCTGAAACAAAGCGAAGAAAATGAACTAGAGTTATTACGCCAAAGAGAAAAAGAAACTGAGCAAAAGAATGAACAAATATTGAAGCAAATCATTTGCGTCGAAAAAGAGTGTGATGACATTGAACGCGAATGTGCAGTCTTGAAAGTAAGTGCAAAATAAAGTTTCGAAATATTAAAATTTAAATGTGGAAATTTTCTCAATGCACAACTCTTAACTATGTAAAAGAACCGCGTGCCAGACGTATCTTACTTCCAAATTTTTTACTTGTGGAGTTTTGTGAAATCTATGTTGTGAAACCAACAGGAGGCTTGTAGGCATTAGGCGGTTATAACACTGCGCCGCGCTCCGTCGCGGAGCGCGTGATTTTTTATGTGATTATCACGCGGACGCGTTGTCAGTGTGAAGTGCCGCGCGTGTATTCTATACAAACTGAGGTACTTGCATACAATGAAAAAATCTGTCGCCCCGCGCTCCGCGACGGAGCGCGGCGCAGTGTGATAACCGCCTTACTATTATCATCAACTTACCCAGCAGCAGCCTGTCAAAACACATTTAATTGTGTAATATTCCTGAAAAATTACGGTTAGGTTCCTGAAGAAATTCTTAAACCCGGTTTACCTTATTTCGCGTCATGCGATTCCCCGCGAATTTTCTGTGGTCACGTTCCTTTCACGCGTTGATACCCAAGCGCACATAATTTATCCTTTGATGTAGGTAAAAATTAGCACCCCTATCGTCTGTCGTAGTTGGTATGTACCTACCTTCTGTTCTGAGAATCCTGAGACTAGGAGGTGATGTATGTCAAGCGATGTGTGTGTATTAATAGGCCGATATCGTACAAACGTACTTAACCTTTAACTATGGACGTCGGGTCTCAGAGGCCCACCCCCCTTTCCGATTTCTCGGTTTAAACACCTTCCCGCCACGTGCTGCTCTCGACCATCTCAATAGCTTCAGTTTTAACTGTGTTTGGACCGAGGAGGCATAAAATTGCGTCTTCCGGCACTTATTACGTGAGTAATAACCATCCAAAATTTTGTCCGGGCCTGGAAGACCCGATGACTATAATTTCCATACAAACATACTTGTATGGATGTGACCTGTCAACTATATTTTTTTTATATTATATTATTTTAATCTTAAGTAAATTGCTCTAGTTTAAGAATACTTAATGGCAGAAAGTATCTGAGTACATCAGCTATATTATTAGCCCAACTATCTAAAGAACATTTTAGGAGTAAGGTATTACTTGTAGACGATTATTCTTTTGAGTTTAGATGTCTTAGAATTCACTATTGCTGCAGATTCCTATTCTGAATGGTGTACATTTTGTCTATCAAAGCTCTCAAAGAAAGATAACACATGCCTGTAGAGATAATTTGTTTTTTTGTGTTCTAGGCCACTGTGTATATTTTAGTAACTTTAACCCATGTCAAAATTTTTAATTTATGTCCTTCAGAAATTTTGTTCATGTTTTTATGTTACATGGTTATTAATTAGCAAGGAAAAAAATATTACTTTCCTTTATTAATAATCTACTGTAATCAAGGAGCCTATATGTGATGGCAAGTCAATTAACACTGAAAAATGTCTAAGTTTTTTAAATTTGCAAAAAAATAATTAAATGTTTGTTAAAATTTGATTACATTTACCACTAAATCCTTTATTAATAGTTATTAGATATATATCAACTCTTAAATAAATTCAAATTAATTAAGATGTGAAAATAAGAAGAATTTTACATAGGGGTCTGTGAGACCCGACGTCCATGGGAGTGTGATTATTTTTTCACGTCCATAGTTAAAGGTTAATGTATCAAAAATATTTTTTGTTTGTTTCAGAAACGAAACCACGCCATTATGCTGAAAATGAGACGTAAGTTGGTAGAAACAGAAAATGTTCGAAAAGAGCTTATGAAGAATAATTAAGGATGTTGACGAATAATATCAAACAAGAAGTTATTTAATTCATGATTTTAATGATTTCCGTGAAAAATTACAATAAACATTATTTATTAATTATTCTAAATTATTTACTTGCACATTGAAAGATCAATACATGCAAATTACACAAAAAAACAACAAAAGATATTACACATTGAAATAAATAAAAACAAACCTTAGTTGTAGGTAAGAGGTAACATTAAACATTGTAAAAGATCTTTTGCCTCTAATAGCATCAAGACGTGCTAAAAGTTATCACCTATTCATCAATGGTCATTCACTCCACAAAACAAATGTCTAATATCTATTTAATACTGATTCAACACTTTCCAGAAAGGCACTAAGTTTTAAATAATATTTAATTATCCAGTTGAAGCAGTAAGGCAACACTTCGTTTAATCCAATGAGATGCAGGTTTATCTGACGGCAGATAAAATGCCAGGACAAAATTTGACGAATGACCAGTTGTGGCCAAAACGCCTTTCCTTTCCAAAGTTTTGTACAAAGGGCATCTATACCTTGTTCCTTCTTGAAACTCGGTTTTTATTTTCGGGTATAACCACATAACTGGCATATTATCATTTAAAATCTTTGGAAGCTGTTCATCAATAGCGTATTTGTCTCGGTTCCAGCGGCCACCATCCATAAACAATCCTAACACGTACACTCCCATTGCCGGTGGGACTGTTTCATAATCAACTCTACGTACCTCAAAATCGAATATAAGCAAATCGATAGGAATCCTTTTAGATCTAGCATAATTCTGTACAGAGCCAGTCAAAAATGCCTGAGTAAAGAAGAAGCCCGACAGCCAAAATGTAGACGGTTTCCCATTTTGATACCAGTCCTCCAACATAGCAAGACGCTCGATGAAATCTGCTACATAGCTAGGCAGGGGTTTCAAACTTGGGTAGGATACTTTCCGCCAGTTATCTGGTATCCTACCAAGAAGCATTGCGTTTGATTGAAGATCTAGGGCTGGTGACATGACAATGAGTCCCTTTACAGCTTTCTGCAAATCTAATAAAGACCCTTTGATTTCACCAAGCAGCTTGTTGAAACGTTCCATTTCTTGTACGAGTACAGTATTCATAGACTCGTTATAATCAACCGGATACTTCTTTTGGGCCATCTCTACATCAAACTTCGGTGGTAATTTAGATATAATCTCTGACGCCATATGCATAAGAATCACTTCAGTGTTGCCACCTTCACCCCCACTTCCAGTACCCTCAACAAGAACGAGCGCTGCTGTCATAGCCATTGATATAGTGTAATCACGGGTTATACCTGCATTCATATGAAGACCAAACACCTCTGGTGGTGGATTCACTGGTACCATTTCAATATGTTTTAAATAATCTTGGTATTCACACCTGCGTGGGAGTCCATACTGAGATCCTATGTCACAAAATAAATAACCAGGGTCATTGACAACTCCAGCATTGACATACGCATCCAAAATTGTCACAATCAATCTTCTGTCCCAATCGTCGGTTACTCTGCCACCATAATTACATTCACCTGTCAAATATTTTATTGCCACATACTGAATCTCCTCATATTGATTTAAGAACATTTGTAACTGCATTATAGATATTTGAAAATCTGAATCATTAAACCCGTATTGTATATTCCAACCCAAAGGACCGAATTTCTTTCTTTCTTGAACTACTGCATGAAAGAAACTTATTCCATACAAAAGTTTACTAAATGGTTTATCTTTACCTGGACACCCTTCAAAGAATTCTGGTTCCTTTAAGGGCTCTGAATTATACGATCTATATAAGTTATGCTGAAGACCAGTTGGAGGTTCATTAGTCATTTTAACTCCTACTTGAAGAACGGATTGAGGAAATCTATCGGATGGATAGCTAGTCAGCCATAGTCGAAAACTTAGGTCTGTATTTGTTAAATCAAAACCTTCAACGATTTTTTCTAACACTGGTAACCAAGATACTGCCAAATGGCAATTTTGTAAACAAACCCAGCCACCTTCAAGCTGAGCTCTTTCTATCATAGCTCTTGCGATAGGTCCTTGTCCTTGACCTAGTGATATAGAATTAAATCTGTGAGAGTATCCCATTCTCTCACAATATTTAATTAATGCTCCCATAGGGTCTGAACCCGGTGACAATATGAATATGAGTGGAGCAAGGCAATTAGAATCTCCAAATGATTTGCCTATGTCAAACGGCGGAGGCGTTATGTATTTGCCACCCATTTGCTTTTCAACAAAGTCAGATATTGCAGTTGTTAACTTGTCTGGTCTCAATACTCTTACGACTAGCAACCTTTGGAATGGAGTTAATTTTGTTTCCCAAGCACCTGGTAGAGCCTTATGATGTGGTTCTAAGTCATCATATACTTCCTGCCATTTAGTAATTGCTGAAATAAAGTTATCCTTAAAGCCTTTGAAAGCAGCCAAATCATTTAGTCTACAAATTTCGTCCCAAGCTTTATCTGGTAGCCAGTCAACTGGTTTCGCAAACGGATTTTGCACAGCTATGCCGCCTGTAATTAGAAACATATGCTCATCTGAATTCATTTCGCCAGTAGACAACATCATTTTTGAACACATTATAAATGAAAACATCAATTTGTCTTTGTCAAAAAGTGATCTACAAACATTGCTATACAAATTGTAGGTAAATGTGTCTTTCAAAAATTTCAGTCTTTTATCTAAATCCTTAGATTTGTTAGCATTTTCAATTGATATAATGTACAAGTTGATAAACCATGTTAAAGAATATTGATACATGGGATCCACATTAGGCAACTCAGTAACGCAATAGTATAAAACTGCCGAATGAGATGCTATAGGTCTATATCCAAGTCTAAATTTTTCTATGATTATTTCGGTTTCCAAACTAGCCTCTTGTTTTTTCATAATATCAATAGCCAATATTTTAGACGAATCCAGGACTTCAATGGCAGACTCATCTTCTAAAATATCTCCTTTGGTTTCTTGTAACGTACGTAATATATCATCTTCGACCTGTTTCAGGGCAGCCCTATTAGCTGCTCCTTGAACAATCAATTTTTCTCTTTTTTCTTGTAAATCAGGTCTTTCTTTGGCAACTACTATCCCTAGAAGTTGATCTTCCAATCCATCTTTAGTGAGTGCAAAGTTTATTAAAGTAACCTTATTAAAAACTTCTGGCAAGTAATGTGGATTTCTTAATTTTGTCGTCATATACAATCTAAAATTGGGATGATATTCTATAACGTTTTCTCCCAAGGCAATATATTCTTTTCCACCTTGCATATAAGTGTGTTTTAGTAAAACTGGATCTAAAGGCGCTTCTACATCTTCTAAAATACAATCTATCAGCGCTGGTTTACCATATTCCAAACAAGTTTCTATAACTTTCATATAGTTTCCATCAGTAAACTTCAATACCTGTAGATCATTGGACTTTTCCATCGTTTTTATCCATTTGTTGGCCTGACCTTGTGGATCGACCAATAAAGACCATCTCATGGAATTATCTTGAATAATAGCATTATCAGTTGAGAAAGAGTCACGTGGCAATCCAGCTATATACCAGTTCTGAATCTTGATATCAGTTCCTAAGACATCCTTAAAAAGGAATACTTCAGAGTGAGGCATATCAAGTTTTATGACCAGGTTACGCCATTCATCAATCATTTCTGTTCTTACTGGTAAGGTATAAGGTGCTAAGTATGCTATTATACCACAAGAAACTAATATGTCCCCGGCCAAATTATCGAAAAGTAACTGAAGATTTTCAGCTGCTGCAGTCCATCGTACTTTTTCACCCCCTAGACCACCAATTAATTTTTCAGCTCTGAAAAGTTTATCTATACACAATTGAACTTCATCTTCTAATGCTTTCTTTTTAATATTCGCCTCTTCTAAGGCTTCATTTAATTGTGCCAATTTTGCTTCTAATCGAGCTACTGTAGCTTTCTTCTCCTCTAATATTGCCATTGTTTCAGCAAACTCCTTTTCAGCAGCTTCTAACTTAGCCTTTTTGGGAGCTACAACTTTTGCTACAGCATCATACATATCCATGGCAATAATCCATTTGCACAAACCCTCTGCTGCTGCTGAAGCTTTTGCAATAATGTGTGGTTTGAAGTCTTTATTGGAGAGGTATTCTTTTCTGATCTTTTGCATAGTAGCAACAGGTATATTATCTTTATCAAAATTGCGTAAAGAATCCAAAAAGCTCATATCACCTAGCACTCGTTTGCTAGGCCCCCAAAAATCAAATATTTTTTTCCCAGGATTATCAGGGTCTGGTATTTTATCTGGTGGTATTCCTTTCATGACACAAACCGCAGCCATAACCAACTTAACAGTAGCTGGAGGATTTTTCATAGATTTTACTATAGTAATGTCACCAGGCTTAAGTGTGTTTAAAGCAGCAATAGCATCTTCCAAAATTGGCAATGCTAGAGCTAAGTCAGCTTCGCAGTCCTTCTTTAATTCTTGGGCAGCAGCTGCCTGTACGTTAGCCACTTTTTGATCCTCTCTCACTTGAGCTGCAGCTTTGTCAGCAATAGCAGTTTCTTTTTCTATTTCTTCCATCATCTTCGCTGATTTTGCAGCCATTACGATCAATTGTGGTTTTAAAGCATTTAAGTCACGTTGCATGATTGCAACAGCCTCAGCTGCTTGTCCCAGTTTATCTAAACCATTAGTATAACGTAATTTGGCTGCTCTTAGTTCCCTCTGTTTTTTGTTTGTCAAAGTAGTAAAAGATTTAATCAAGTCCAAATAAGAAGCGGAAGTGATATAAGTTTTTCTTCCAAATTGAGAATAAAAATCGGCAGATACTCGTCGCGCGTCTACATGAAATTGTTTGCAAGCAATAACAGCCGCTGCTTTCACTTTATCTGGCACATTAACTTTAATCATATAATGATGTGCCACCATTTCCAAGGCATCTTCTGGCCAACTGTCATACCAATCAATTGTACAACAATTCACTAAAGACGGATATAGTCTTAGTCTGGTCCTAAACG